ACACTGTGACACTGATGTGTCAAATGCGATAATGGTGACCCATGGTGGACAGTGTGTGGTGGAGCTCCTCAATTAAACCAAGATCAGAAGCAGGAGTGGCATCCACTTCCATAATAGCTTGCCTCTGGAAACTCTATGAACCTGGAGAAAGGATGAAAGTCAAACAAGTGTTGAGGACTTTCGTTCATAGGGTTGCTATGAGTTGCCTACGTATGACTTGACGGCACTTAACAACAACAACAATTGTGTACCATCAAGTCAGAACCGACTCATAGCTGCCCTTCCAGCAGGTTTTTAGAGGCAGTAAATTGCATGGGAGGACATTGCCCATCTTTCTCCTGTTGAGAGGCTGTGGTGGATTTGAACCATGAACCTTTGGGATGGCAAAGCAACTCCTTACCACTAAGCAATCAGAACACTCTTTGAGAAATTAAAAGTAAGGGGAAAATATATAGTTTTACTCATTTTAATAATTCCTGTAGTTAAATTCCATTTGTCTGTCTATCCATATCTACCTTTCTGTCTTTCTCTGTGTACATGTGTGTAATGGGGACACACGCATACATGATGGGGCTCTAGTGGCCTACTGGCAAGAAGCTGCACCACCATCCCGAAGGCACAGCACACAGTTTATACCCACCAGCTGCTCCCTGGGTAAAAGATGGGAGCTCTGCTCCTGTGTGATTTCAGAGAATCCGAAAACCTGCTTGAAAGCCAGCAATCAATCAGCTCCACCTTGATGACACATAACAAACATCATACATATATAGATATATATACGTATGTGTGGAAGTTTCTCTTTAATATATTTTCTACATTAAAAAATTCCCTTAAAATTTCTTTAACATATGAAACAAATGATATTGAACTTTTTTTCAGCTTTAGTGTCTGAAAAAGGCTGGATTTCACCTTCGTTTGTGTGAATTACTTGTGTTCTTCACTGAATTTGTCCAGAATTCTGGATTGCCTTTCACTCTTTCTATACTTTCAAAATGTCATATGTTGGTTTTTGTCTTGCATCATTCCTGATAATAAGTTTGCTCTCAGTCTTACCTTGCTGCTTTTACTTGCCGTGTGCCTTCTCCGCCCCCCTTGACACTTTCCGTTTTTTGTTTTTTTCTTATTCTGTGTAGAGTTCTTTGAGGTTTTTTGTGCTTTTTATTGAAAAAATATTGGTTATTATCACCTAAAATATTTCTTTTTCCTTTTTTCTATGACTTCTTCTGTTGTTGATTGCCGTCTACGGCTTGACTCTAGTCAAGCACGACTCATAGCAACCCTATGAACTAAAAACCTGAAGCCTTTCTATAACGATCATAATTTATCGACGTTCATAGAGTTTCCAGAGACATGTTGTTTAGGAAGTGGATGCCGTTCCATTGTTATTTACAAAGTTTTCAAGGTCTTGTTGTTTCAGAATTAGATGGCCAGTCCTGCCTCTCTGTCTTAGTTGGAAAGCTTTGCTAAAACCTGTCTGCTATGGGTGACCCTGCTGGCATTTGAGATACTGATGGCACAGCTTCCAGCATCGGAGCAACATGCAGGTCACCAAAGCACAACAAACCAATAAACAAATGGTGGAAAGTAAAGGTCTGTGAGAGGGAGACCCTCATTGAGAGGGGACAAACACTGTTACAGCAACAGCAGGCCTGCGCATGGCAGAGACCGTGACAATGGTGCAGAATAGGGCAAGGTTTCAATTTGTTGCTCATGGAATCGCTCTGAGTTGTAGTCCATTCATAACATCTAATAACAAAGTAAAGAATGTCTGCCTTGAACATTTCAAGATGTACCTATATGAGATCAAGCTGACAACAGCAACTGGAAAGATCAGGAGAGGAACATGAGGGGGCAGTGAGTGTATGTTCCACATATAGATTGAAAAGTTACGGACACAGGAGGCATCACTGACACATTCCTTTCCTGATTTAGAACCACGCAGTGTTTCCTTGCTCTGTTCTGAGGACTGCCTCCTGGTCCAAGTACAGGTTTTGTGTGAGCACAATCAGATGTTCTAAGATTCCCATTCTTCTCAAGGTTAGCCACAGTTTGTTGTAACCCACACACTCAAATGTGTTTGCATAGTCAATGAAATGCGGACATTCCTCTGATACTCTCCTTCAGCCAAGATCCATCTGACATCTGCAGTTATGTCCCCAGTGCCATGACCTCTTCTAAACCCAGCTTGTATTTCTGATAGTCCTCTGTCAATGAACTGTTCCAGTTGATTTTGAATGATCTTCAGTAGAATTTTGCTTATGTGTGGTACTAGTGATATCATTTGATAATTTCCACATTCTGTCGGATCACCTTTTTTGAAATGGGAATAAATATGGGTCTCTTCCAGTCAGTTGACCAAGTGGTTGTCCTCCAGATTTCTTGGCACAATCTGGTGAGTATATTTAGGGCTGCATCTGTCTGTTGAAATATATCAGTTGGCATTCCATCAATTTTGGGGGCCTTATTTTTAGCCAATTCTTTCAGAGCAACTTGAACTCCCTCTTTCATCACCATTACGTCTTGGTTGTATATTGTTGAATGAAATTTTTCCTTGTCAGCCAGTTCTTTTTGATACAGTGACTTTGAATACTCCTGTCACCTTCTTTTGATGCTGCCTGGGTCATTCACTATGCTGCCCACAGCATGCTTAAGTATTGCAACTTGGGGCTTGAATTTGTTCTTCAGTTCCTTTCAGCTTCAGGAATGTCAAGAGAGTTCATCCCTTTTGATTTTCTAACTCCAGCTCTTTGCACATTTTGCTATAATCCTTCACTGTGTCTTCCTGAGCTACCCTTTGAAATCTCTGATGAGCTTAGATTTTATTTTTGTTAGGGTAAACTTCAGTGCATCATACACTTCTGCTTGGGTGGAAACGGATGATACTCTCAATGTTCCTGGCCAACCAAGAATGTTTGGTCCTCTCTACACCTATCCTTCAGATTCTTGCACCCCCTCTGGTAGTTGTCATTTGCAACTTCTTACCTGGTTTTTGTAAGCCTTATGATGTGGGCCAGAAATAGCCCAGTCCAAGATCTCAGTTCAGTCGACCTTCTATGTGTGAGTGTTGGGTATTGGACTTTGTCAATGATTCTCAACCTATTTTAAGTTGGGCCAAAATTGTCAGTCTTTGGAGGTCCCATGTAGAGTGTACTTTCCTGCCCTCCTATAGTAATAAAAAAGATTCATTATTGGTAGAAACTCTAGGCCCAGGACTCTGCTTAGGGCCAATGTTTTTGCTCTTTGGGGGAGAAGAACATGTGGAGAATTTTGTGAGGTTGCCACAGGAACAGCCTGGACCACTATCTTTCTCTTGGGTGGTAGATGAACTCCCTGATGTTCTGTTCTCTCCAACTAGCCCACATTCAGTCTTTAGAATATTTGTTTAAGAAGTTTTGCATAATACTTACTCTCATGTGTGATCCTAGGATCTCCTCCTCCTATTTTCTGCCACTGGTGACATCCTATTTCTGTCTTTTAAGGAACCTACCATCCATTAGTGTTTGTTGTGGTGGTTTAGTGCCAGCAAGTCGAGTACAACTCATAGCAACCCTATGAACAAAAGATCTGAACTCAGTCCTGTTGTGCGCCATCCTTACACTTCCTGACACACAAGAGCCCATTGCAGCAGTCACCTTGTCAGTCCACCTGTTTGAGGGTCTTCCTCTCCTTCATTGACCTTCTTCTCTTCCCAACATCATGTCCCTCTCCAAAGAAGAGCACCTCCTAGCAACATGTCCAAAGTATGTGAGGCAAAGACTCATCATTCTTATCGCCAACAAACACTCCAGCTGCACATTTCCAAGAAATGTCTGTTCTTAACTTCCCTCTGACCTCACTTCTCTGATGGATCCAGGAAAGGTAGGTAATCCTCCTGTAGTCAATCAGACATTTTCTTATTTTTATTGGAGACATAATAACTTTTCCAAATTCCTGTGTCCTTTGTAGATGAAACGGTGCAACACAATTTTTTTTTTGCAACACAATTTTAATGCACTATCATTTTGATCTTTAAAGGAATCTCTTTGCTTGTATTAACTTATTTATAGTATCACATTTATACTTTTACTATTTCCTGATTCACTGATAATTTGCTCTCTCATTTTCCTCATTAGCTATAAAAATATCTTGATTAAAATGTAATAAGATTATAGAAATAAAGTAATGATCAATATTAATTTGTAAATGTTTCATAGATTGAAAAGAAAACATTTTCTATGAAAAATGTGACCATAATCAAGGAAAAGGTTTCTAATGCCCTCTGAATATTGACTTCTAACTATTAGCTGATATACGATATTTGGAAAATTGTGGTCCACATGATAATCTTCCTTTCTCTAGAATTGCAACCAGATGTCTGAGAGTTCTGCAGAGTACATTGTGTCCTGTTTAATTGCCATAGCCAGTTGTGGTCACTAGATGCTCTGGGGGTTTTTTGAATCTTTGAGCCATTGTGATTTGAGGGGAAAAACATCTCAAGAAAAGGTTACAGCAAGGATTTGATAAGATGTTTAATAAATGGCATTGATCAATTGTAATTAATGTTATAAAACAAAAGTTATCTGAATTATTGAATAAAAAGCAACAAAATAAAACCAGCATGGCACTGGCAAAATGACAGGTACAAAAGAGAGAGAAATGTTTATAAGTAACTGATGTGTTTTTCCATCAGAGAAATATATTGTTATAAAGGAATTATAGTTTGATTAAAATATTGCAAAGTCTTATGAAGCTGTTAAATAGAGGGGGGTGAGGGGAATGAGACATTCCTGACAGCATTTACTCACTCAGCTGAGGTTCTCCTGGGAGCTGTAAAATCTCACTGGGACTCAGTATTCTTACCTATAAATGTATGTTTCAATTTGAATCAATGAGAATAAAACTAGAACTATGATCTCTTGCTGCTTTAAAAGTCTGCCCTTATGGAACTGTATATCTTGTCCCATTTTTTTAGTGATCTAATAAAAAAATCACACTTACTATGACTCTCTCTTTAATTGCAGGTTTTATATGGGGAGAAATTAAACAAATGTGGGATGGTGGACTCCAGGATTATATCCATGACTGGTGGAACCTAATGGATTTCGTGATGAACTCCTTATATTTAGCAACAATCTCCTTGAAAATAGTTGCATTTGTAAAGGTAACTACTATTTACATTGTTGGTAAAGCCTGTGTTTTGGTAATAATTTTGATCATTGTCTTAATAGATTTTGTCACTATTTATTTTTAGCTATGTAGAACTTTACCTGTCTGTGCGTGATCAGGTCATTATCAATAGATTCGTGTTATAAGATATATGTTGTTGTTGTTGTTGTTGTTGTTAAGTGCCGTCGAGTCACAGGCGACTCATAGCAACCCTATGAAGGAGAGTCCTCAGCGCTTGGGTGTCTCTCATCCTCTCTCCAGGTTCATAGGGTTTCCAGAGGCAAGCTATTATGGAAGTGGATGCCACTCCTCCTTCCAAGCTTGTTTTAATCGGGGAGCTCCACCCCACTCTCAGTCCGCATTGGGTAGCCAACCATTAACGCATTTGACACATCTGTGTCACAGTGTTCAGCCTCACAGCAACCACAAGTGACCACTGTATGGCAACATGTACACCAGGGCTATACGACCTAGAGGAATGTCTGAACAAAAACAATGAAAGACAGGCCTGAGGGCTGCAGATTAAAAGTCACCAACCTTCAGCTTGGTAGCATCGCCTTCTGTCCACTGGGCCAGCTGATCTCTCTCTCCGTGTTGATGTTATTGTTGTTAAGTGCCATAGAGTCCTCAATGCTACAAGATATATAGAAGGTGCATAACTTAAAATCATCACTATTTTTAATAAATACTTAACAGAACTTGCCTCCCAGTTTCTTGTAACCAAATTAAATGATGCCTCAAAATTATTGATTCACTTCTTTAGTTTGTGACTCTTTGCATTGCCAATGAAATTCTACTTCCAACATTTTTAAATTTAGACAACCAGAATATCTATTTTTCTCTTTCTTAACTAACAGATAAAATTTCTGAAACAAATCAAAATACTACTCTTTCAAAGCACTGATTCTTTTCAGTTTTGACAAATATAGTTGGATATAAATTGAACTGAATATAATTTCTTTCTCCTCATCCCTTAATGTAATAGTACCTGAAATCTCATACAACTATTACTCCCCCAGATTTTGTACATCAGTCTTATCGCAAACCACGCCATTTACATAAAACATTTTTCTTCTGTTATGACAATTGGAATTAATTTTCACTTTGGGGAATTTTTTTTTTTTTTAAAAACCCAAATCTTATCCTCTGGTTCTTGCTTTCTTCCCTTTCTAGTTTTTCCCTTTTTCATAACTTTTAACAATTTCTTTTAAAATTACAAGTGACTACATTTTAGACCTGGAACTAAGCTCACTCTTTTTGGCTCAATTCTCAGCCCAATGTTGTTGAAATCATTGGGTCTGAACCGACTCATAGCTGACCCTCCAGCAGGTTTTCTTAGGCAGCAAATCACGCATGGGAGGAGATTGCCCACTTTTCTCCCTCAGAGCAACCGGTCGATTCAAACTGGATATCTTTGCATTGGTAGCACAATTCCTTGCCACTAAGCCGTCAGAGCTTCCTGAGATTAGACAGGCTTCTCAGGTCAACAATAACACCAACATCCGGGAGGTCCTCACTTCTTCGAAGACGCAGTCATAGAATAGTAAAAGGTCAGCATATACTCATGGATAGTGCTCAGAAGGCAGGAAGGGCTAGGATAGAAGAATGTATGGAAAAGAAAAACACAAGGAAGAGTGCTGCAAAAAATGTGAGGATTATAATCATGTCACACACACACACACGCGCGGGCGCGTATATGAATGTTGAGTGGAACACCACTTACAAACTTTCATCCAAATCACAATAAATAGTTAAAATAAGGTGGGATGATAAGTGGCTTAGTGAAAAACATAGTGTCTAACTTTACTATAAATAACGCATGAATCTAATGATCTGAAATACGAAGTGCACACATGTCTCAGTGAACTCTTATTCCACTTACTCTAGTTCTTAGAACAGTGCCCAGTCTCTTGCCATTTCAGTTATAAAATTATGCAGTTAGGTCAGTACCAGTGTCTCCCCATTGTGAAGATGCTATGGTTTCCAGGATTCACTCAATTAAAATGCTGCAGGACTCAACAAAATTCTGAGGAAAAAGAACAATTGCTACCAGTATCTTGGAAAGCAAGCTATGCACTAAGAATGGAAACATGATTTGCTAGTTATTCTCACAGACATTGTGCTCCTTATTAAGACAGAGAAAGGTGCTATGCTATGCTAAGCTAAGCTAAACTCTAAGCTAAGCTAAGCTAAGCTAAGCTCTAAGCTAAACTAAGCTAAGCTATGCTATGCTATGCTATGCTATGCTATGCTATGCTAAACTATGCTAAACTAAGCTCTAAGCTATGCTATGCTATGCTATGCTATGCTATGCTATGCTATGCTAAACTAAGCTCTAAGCTATGCTATGCTATGCTATGCTATGCTATGCTATGCTATGCTATGCTATGCTATGCTATGCTATGCTATGCTATGCTAAACTAAGCTCTAAGCTATGCTATGCTATGCTGCACTATGCTGTGCTATGCTGCGCTATGCTATGAGTTTATGCATGAGATGGATAGTCTGGTTTTAAATCTGAAGCTGTCCAGTTCCCCTTTCCTCTGTCACAACCCTTCAGACTAAAACTCATTGCTTTCGATTCAGAGCTGATTCATAGCTGACCCTCCGGTGGGTTTTTGGAGGCTGTCGCAGGAGGAGATGCATCCTCATCCCTTGGAGCTGCTGGTGGATTTGAACCATCATGCAGCCTTTGAGTTAGCAGTGCAACTTCTTTGAACTATGCTACCAAAGCTCTCTAACAACGCTTAGCTACTTGTTTGTACCTCCCTTTATTAAAAGTTTTTATTATATGTCTTCTGATTTTCTTTTTATCTTTGCTTGGGTTTGTGTGTTTTATTATTATTAATTTTAATGAAAATTTAGAGACTTTGGATTTCCATTCATTCATTGTTGCACTTTTCTCCCTGCTCACCCCTCTCCCCTCAGTCTACTCTTCTCGTTGAAAACTAAAATTCTTTCATTGTTTTACAAGCCTTCCCCCCAGGTCCACTCCACTGTGCAGCCTTCATTCTGGACTCCTGTCATGACAACAATACCTAACCATATATCCTTTAAACCATTTTCTCCCTTATCTGTTTCAATGCAGTTTACATTACTTATCCCATCTTTCTCAGTCTCTCCCCCAACCCCAATGTCAGTCTTGTTTTACAACAGTGGCACTATGCAGTATTTGTCCTTTTGTGGCTTATTCACTGTTGGTGAGAGTGTAAAATGGTGCAACCACTGTGGAAGGTGGTGTGGCGCTTTCTCAAAAAGTTGCAAACAGAGATACCATTTGACCCAGCAATTCCACTACTGGGAATATACCCCAAAGAGACCATAACTGCCACCCAAGCAGATATGTGCACACCCATGTTTACTGCAGCTTTGTTCATAATAGCAGGGAGTTGGAGACAACCTAAGTGCCCATCAATAAACAAATGGATAGAGAAGCTGTGGTATATTCACACAATGGAATACTATACTGCATTGAAAAACAAGGAATTCATGCACTATTAATTAAAAATGGATGACCCTGGAGGACATTTGCTTGGGTTTTATGGTCCTATGTAGTTATTCCTCATGCTTGGAAGCAGGAGTGGCATAAACTCCCAAAATAGCTTGCCTCTGGAGTCTCTACTAACATGGAGAAACAATGAAAGTTTTACAAGTGTTCAGGTCTTTCCTTCATAGGGTCGCTAAGAGTCGTCTATGACTCAATGACACTTAACTAAAACAACAACAAAGAGAGAGCTCTGTTGGCCTAGTGGATAGAGAGTTAGACTTCCAAGACAAAGTTGGATGATTTTAATCTGTGGCCCTCAGGCCTGGTTTTCATTGCTTTTGGTCAAACATTCTTCTAGGTGGTATAACACTGGTCTGTGCATTGCTGTGACTTGTGGTGGCTGTGATGCTGAACACTGTGACGCTGATATGTCAAATGCGATAATGGTCACCCATGGTGGACTGTGTTTGGTGGAGCTCCCTGATTAAAACAAGCCTGGAAGCAGGAGTGGCATCCACTTCCGAAATAGATTGCCTCTGGAAACTCTATGAACTTGGAGAAACGATGAAAGTTATACAGGTGTTCAGGTCTTTTGTTCATAGGGTCCCTGTGAGTCTTCTACAACTCGACAGCACTTAACAACAACATGTGCCATTGAATCGCCTGTGATTCATAGTGACCCTATGTACAACAGCCCTAAACTCTGCCCTATCCTGTGCCACTCTCACCATCTCCGACACACCCACCTCCATAACTCCAGTCACTGAATCAATCCATCTCATCAAGGGTCTTCCTCTCCTGTGCTGTCTCTCCACTCTCCCGAGCATGACGTCGTTTTCCAAGGACTGGTCCCTTCTTGCAACATGCCCAAAGTATGTCAGACGAAGCTTCAGAATCCTTCCCTCTAAGGAGCAGCCTCACCCTCTCCAGGACAAACCTGTTTGTTTTCCTAGCTGTCCATGGTATGTTCAAGACTCTTCTCCAACACTCCTGCTCAAAGGCATCAATCCTCCTTCTAACAACAACATTGTTGTTGTGTTGTTGTTGTTATGTGCCATTGAGTCGCTTGTGACTCATAGCGACCCTATGTACAAGAGCCCTAAACACCATTCTATCCTGTGCAAACCTAGCCATCTCAAATGCACTCAATTCCCACTACTCCAGTCACAGAATCGATCCATCTCATTGAAGTTCTTCCTCTCCTGTGCCACCCCCTACTCTCCCAAACATGATATCCCTCTCCAAGGACCAGTACTTCCTTGCAACATGCCCATAGTATGTCAGACAAAGCTTCAGAATCCTTAAATCCAAGGAGCACTGCAACTTCACCTTCTCCAGGACAAACCTGTTTGTTCTCCTAGCAGTCCATGGTATATTCAATACACTTCTCCAGCACCACAGCACAAAGGCAGCAATTCTCTTTCTGTCATCCCTATTCACTATCCAGCTCTCTGATGCATAGCACATAATTGCAAAGACTATAGCCTGGATCAGGCCCAACTTAGTCT